CATGCAGTAACTACCTACACTCAAGCATTGGAACCTGAACATCACAAAATCCCTACAGACAACTTGTTTAATAATAAATGCTTTAAAAATATGAGGCATAAGTGCACCTTCCATATCCTTCATAGTCACAAGTAATTCATTAAGGATCTCAGAATATCTTAGTGATCTGAAAACGAAGAGTTATTAAGACTGATATAACTTAAGTAACAGGTGCAGCAGTTGTAGGACACAGGTGCTAGCTACTATTCGACAGAAAGCTGACACTAATTTTGAGCAGTCTGACATTTTAGAGGGACCATCTGCACTATTCATCTTGCCCCAATGCACACTAACATCAACATAATCTGAAGGCATGTTATGCATTGAGCAATTACGGTCTCCCGAAATTCCATGTGACAATTTAAACTAAACTAGTATCACATCTTCGCCTGATCAACTTTAACTAGGAACTTCATCGAAATGGTTATAATCACCAGGAAATTCAGTAGCTTGTCTCGTTGATCGGAGGATCTCTTCGATGTGTTATGGAATATGTAGTGTACACTGTACCTTTGAACTTTTGTTTGAATGAACGCAACCTGACATGTTTAACCCCTCTTCCGCTTTGTACTCCGGTTCCTCCTGTACGGTTACTGTCTCGCTCTCTCGCTGTACTTTCACCTAGTACACCCTACGAGCTGACAACCGTCTCACCTCCAGATAAGTGTGTACTTTTTATTTCTTATCAAATTCCATATCTCTTTGTGTAAATACAATTCCGGTCCAGTTACACTTGCCATTTCGAGTCTTCTAACTTTGATTCCGTTCTTTAGTACTTGCACGTAGGCAGAGTACTAATTAAGGTCATAAACGGTGAAAGAGTTTGTAAGAGCGGTTATTGTTAGGTCGAAGTAAATCCTAAGTCTAACTCTTACAAATATTTCAATCACCACGGATGATAATAAAGGTGTTAAGCATCCACAAAACGTACATCTAACTTACGTCTGTGGGCAATTTCTCTTTCAAATGCCCGATTCTCATAGAATAAGTGCTATGAAAACAACTATTGTCTGCAGTCAATTTACAACCCTAAGATCTATAACAACTCGCAAGTAACAAGGGTTCAATGCTCTAAAACGCAAATAATAGTCTTTCTATGTGAAATTTCTTATAAAGGTTGACTTCTTTTTAGTAATAAACCGTCTGGGATATCAAGACAACTTTACCTATTAGTACGAACGCAATGCAGAAAAATAATTTTTTAGCTACAGAAGCCTAAAACGAGTCAAACATAATCTATTTTCACAAAACTGAACGATTATAACGCCTCTTTAGGTGTGAACGAGATAACCCATACACTGTGCGAAAATATATCACGATAACGTTTATCCTCACCCAGATCGAATCACTTGTGCTTTCAAGCTGCCCGCCGATGGCGACCAAAACCAATAAACAAAAGTTGAATTTTCATTGTCACTGACGGAAACTTTTACTTCCGCGGCACTATTAACCTCTTCAGGAAACGGTCTGCTCTCCTTTGATAGTTATTTAATGCAAATCCATGTTTTCCTGAATGGAATTATATTGGTAACTTTTTGTTGAGGAACTGGGAAATTACTGTTCTCTGACGTAGTTGTGCCAGGTAAATACGGTTCATACCTGCAAATATGAGGTTATCTGGCATCCCAACACCAGTAACACATTGGCCGGATATATAATCGCTGGCGGTTAGAAAGAATATGCATTCAAACAAATATATGTCCTGTGTTTCCGCCAGTGATCTAACGTTGGTCACAGGTTCTGAGATTGTTGACACCTTACCTACACCCACATGGATCTCCTGCTGTCTAGGGAATCACAAGCACTGAAGAATTAGTACTGGCGCTTAAGCAGTTGTGCATAGTAGAAGACGCAGTAGCAACCGGTGGTACAGTGGTTAGGACTCTCGCCGACCATGCACATGGTCCGGAGTTCGATCCCCTGCCGACGCACACCCGATATCTATGGTCGGCCTGTAAAATTTGGGCTACCGATATCCATGCTGAAAATTCCATACTTGTACTGTAAATACGGTGTGGAATCAAGCTGTAACCAAAAATTAAAATTAAATTAATATTTCAAAGTGACGACAAGCCATGTCGTTATACAAAAAAGTCAATTAAAACAAGGTAAATACAAAGTGTGTCACTTTTAAAATTTGACTAAAAAGTGAACAATATCATCACTCAGGGATCCATAGGAGCCCTCACGTAGGAATCTCATTGACACAGGAATTAGGGTGGCATGTAAACCAACCAACCAGCTCCCTCAGAGATATAATTTGTGGGCTGAAGGACCCAATAGACCCAAAAAACATTACATTTTTTCAAACACCATGTTATGACTCTGAGGTTAATTACACCGGTAAAATTGATAGATCGCAGTCGATCAGATGGTTGGAACAAGAAAATTCAGCTAGACCTACAATAATTGATCCTGCTAAATGAAAAAACCTAGAAAAATTCTCAGCCATAGCATTTCGTTCACTTGCATATAATCACACAACAGGTTAAGTGGGACAGGATGGGAGCATTAAAAGGTAATAAAGTTAGGTGGAGAGAGACGGAGAGGTTAATCACTGAAGCTCTGTTTATCAATTCAACACCTCACACGTGCAGTCGAAACAACCCGGCGTTTACACTGGCTGTGGGGAAAGTGGGAACAAAACATGAAGGGTAGGAGGGAGGGGGGAAATACATAAATGAGGAACAAATTAGGGAGCTGTCGGCAGCAAATGCCAATTATTCAGTGGCTACGATTCATGTTAGGAGTAAAATTCATATACACTTGGTCAGGAGACAATTTTGGTTGAACTAACCTGATGGTAGTTCTTCACCAAATTTCTGCGTCAATTCTTGAGGGTATGGCCACTTCCTTCCTATCTCTCGGACACTCAGACTACCTTGGTAGCATACTGCGTAGTACTGAAAACACTTGAGTGATTGTTTAGGCCAGCACTGTTAGCATACGGCCAAAATTAAACACAGTCTCTGTATCTATCAGCAGTGAGATTCAAAAGCAGTTGCAGGGCGGTTTCCTTTTCAATACTTCGGCCCTTCGGTCAAAGTCTCAGTCATCTTATCCCTGGCAGTACTTATTCGCCATTGGTCAAACAAGGGGGTAGCTATCCCATTCCTTTTCCTAGTCCCCTCCAAATATTCAAAGTTTTTTACAAGACTGTGTAAACCTTGTTGTTTCTTGTTGCTTGATTCTTCTTGTCTGTAATGGTTCTAGATCTTTGACAGATTCCAGTAGAATCTATCTCGTCAACTGTTACAGTATGATTTTAAGCAATAGGAGGATATACGTCACTTTATTTCGGTAGCAGCGTTAGTGGAACTTAAGATACTACTTTTCCCCAATGGCATAGCCACTGCACGAAAATTCTCAACGAATATACACACTCGCAGACTGCAAGCCGAAATCTAAGACTTAGGTAAATGATATAAAGATAAAACTTGGGCACTGTGGTAGAGCGTAGCTCCATCATAGATAAAATTTTATTTTGATAAAATCACAGTGTTATACAGTAGTACTTACTGAAGACGTTTCGAGTACAAGTTATTGCTCATAATCATATCAAGCCACTCACACTACTTTCTTGCTTCATACATGAGTAAAAATTGATGATTAGACATTTGAATGAAATCAATGTTAGATAAGTACCAAAATATTCCGAATAGACTTGTGTTAAAACCAAATTGTCAAACATACTGTAAAGTTTATTGTTCTGTTTAGCAAAATGCATCAAGTAACTGTGGGGCAAACCTACAATTATGAGGTTATCCGGCATCCAAATTCCAAGAACAGGGTGGCGCGATGAAGTGCCTCTCAATTGCCAAAAATGTGCTTTCGAACAGAAATATACTGTAGATCAAGATGAACCACAGATGGTCTGATTTGCACAAAATGTAAAATGGCATATGAAGTACAACCTTTGTGTTTGAAGGTACAATATTAGCCGTAAAACCCTGAATTCATCCGGTCACATCGACAATCACTCTGCAGAAAGCTATAATAGTTAAGTTGACATGGAATGGCGAGGGAAGTAGACTAAATAAGCAGGAGAGGAGGAAAGCATGCAGCTAGTAGAAATAAAAGAAAAAAATGATGGTGGTAAGGGTTTCAGTATAAAGTAGAGGGGTATTAAAGATGAGTTAAATTTGGTATTTGTGGCACCAGTACAATCCCTTTGAGTTAATCTGCCTTCTATATTTATCTGCGTGAACATATTGTTTTTCGTTACGACCTAACCCTTTCTTGAGTCTACTGACTGATGGAACGTTGGTCACGTTGGACAGTGAATCCCATCATTAGCAAAGAGAAGCAGTTGGTCCTTGCTGCTGCCTTTCGAAGAACAGTTATGTTAGGGTTACGCTGACAGAGACCATATTATTATTGTGGTAATATACCTAGGATCTGGTGTTTTGGATAACGCACTACTTTGCGTACCGTGGTGTGGTTGTCTATCGTTCTGAGGAAGCAAGGGGTATGCACATCTATCTGCCATAATCAGTCATTTCACTGCATTTCAGTTCAGTGGCATTTTGAGCAGCTCTTCTTTGTAAGAGCTTCTGGGAGGTCCTCGTCTATTTCTAGGGGTGCTGACCCAGTGAAGTTGTGAACTTCTAAATATGGCTGCGTGAAAGTTTTGTGAGGCTACTTGAAGAGTCCGGGTGTAAGTGTCATCAGCTGAATACGCAGGAGGGAAGTCTGTTGAAACAGCTGTGTGTATTCTTAATTGGCTATGATTCACGTGTCTTTATACACTGTCAAGTCAAGGCCTAGCACTAATTTATCACCCCACGATATTCTAGCACGTAATAATACAGTCAAGTGCTGATAATTATGTCGGACGTAGGATTCACTTATTCTAATCAAAGAAACTGAATGCACTTGTGAAGCTATAAGTCTATGAAAAGGATGAACGCCATCATGGTTTGTTTTAAAAGCTGGGTTGTTTTGTGTTGTGTCGGAGAGCAGTTCGGTTTGTTTGATTGGTTCAAAATCAATAAATTAGATTATAATAATTTTTGAATGTCGGCCGTCTTCCATTGTTTTCCGTACTTTCATGCGTCATTTGCGAGGCTCTGGAGGCTATCCTCGTGATCATAGAGGTAACTAAATGAAAATTTTTATGCTTAACTGCAATGTGTGCTTGTGGATTCGAAAATTCCTAATATGACCTTGTGATTTTTTCTAGTGTCATCTCGTTCATGCTGCTTCTCGCAACCCAGGGGTTTAATACCAAGAAATTTAGGGATTTGGTATCCTCGACCATCACTTTCTCGACCACCTGGAATAATTCAAGATGTTCGACTAAGTAACTTTCCCGGTATTCCTCGTCTACCACTCCTAACACAGTTGACTTTGCGTCCTCAACATTCAAGTCGGATTCGATCGAAAAGAGAGCAACCGTTTGGTCGAAGTCGCTTTCTTCACAGGCGGAAACAGAGTGTTCCAGCCTCAAAGAGTGTTCTGAACCCAAGTGACCCTTTGAACTTGCATGATCTTATGAAGGAAACGGAGCGTCGTCGAGTGGAAGGGCTGTCTCCTTTACGTGGTGACTCACGAATGAATACACCTGCAGTAAGTGTAGCGGGTGATTTTGATTGCGGTAGTCCTCAAAACCCCACATTGCAGCTGTCAGATACATCTAAAGCTCCAGCATCTCCTCTGCTTAACACTCGGAAATCAGAATTTTCCTCTAAAGGACATATTCATCGTCTGCTTCGTAGGCGTCCTGTTCGGAGCTCGAAATTCTATACTGTTAGCCGTCGAACCAGAGGATTCGTCCCTACAACAGGGAACTACATTGATTATTACCGTCGTCGTGATCCAAATGATAGACTTCCCTATTTAATGCCTGAATGGTTTGTGGGTAAGGATGTAGCAGACTATGGATGTCACAATGGGACCCTAACGTTTGGTGTACTTGAAAGGTTTCCAGATGTTGCAAAAATTGATGCTTTTGACTGTGATGCAGAATTAATAGCTAATGCTCAGAGTATGCAAAGGGAGAGATTACGGTGGGATACAGGGTCGAATGTGAGATATGAAAAAATTAACTTCCAAGTTGCAAACTGGATTGATGAATCCACTGCAAACGATGAACCTGAATATGATACAATAATGGCTTTCAGTGTTACAAAATGGATTCATTTAAACCATGGTGATCCTGGTTTAATGAGGTTCTTCAGACGCGCCTTCAACCGCCTTAAACCTGGTGGACACTTAATTCTAGAACCACAACCTAAATCTTCCTACAAAAGAACACGGTTGACGGTAAGTTCATATTTCACCTAAGTTATTTTACAGGCTAAACACAGGTCCATTTATGAATCTCTAAAAATCAATCCATCAAATCTGGAACCCTTATTGGTTGACTTGGGTTTCTCTTACTTTGATACCATCAAGGCTCCTAGACCTAATGAACCATTTCGGCGGAAAATTATTTTATGTTCAAAGTCTTATGGTGCAACTCCTGCTTCAATCCGAAATGATCTTCGGTCTGAAGTGAAGAATTGGCAAGATTTTAACTCACCTCATAGTCCACATGGACGAGAACCTCCACCGGTGTGTTATCATCCTCAAACACCTATTTACAATATTGATACTCCTCCTGTTACAAACACTTCTCCGGGCAATAGAACTGCAGGTGTTTCCAGTACAGTTTTAAGTCCATCTGTTACTTCGAATGTTTCTCCACCTGTTGAAATCGTCAGCTCATTACCAACTCCTAACTGTGAACCTGACTCAACTTCAGCATGATAACCAGCAGCTTTGTACATAATCAACAGAAACAGTTGACATGCATATAAAAATCCTTGTACAGTTTATCTTGTATAATATATTTAAAAGCATTACTTATATATATGTGCTTACCAGATTATTTACTAAAACAAGTTTGATTCATTTTTCGATTTTTTTTCTCATGGTAATCTGGGTTTACTTATGCGGGTCTCAGTAAGCTATACACTTTCTGTGTTGTTATTTTATGCACTTGAGGAACATACTTTGTTCGGTTTACAGTCTGTTGAGAATTGAGTTGTATTGTATTATATTTTGTAGTGAACGGTTGTCTACAGAACTCTACTGGGTTTGTTACTCATGTTTTCGCTACATTTACACAATTGTATTTTATAAGGTAGCCAGTAGATATGTGTAATTATACGCTTTAAATCACTTGAATGAATGAATGAATGAATCAGGTGTTAGTTCGATTCGATTGTATTTGAGTTCTATTGAATACTGTTAACGTTTTGTTATAAGTTTGTGATAATTTAGTTATCCAAAAGTAACTGTTGATATGGTCTTTTACTGTAAATTTCAAATAAATAAGTATGTTTTCATTGTTGGAATGCATTTTTTATTTATTTAACTGATTACTTGCATTCCCCTCCAAAGACGGGTATTTTAATGAACTGAATAAGTTGGATTTGTCTAATTTTGTCGCTTTATTTGTACGAGAACCTGTATGATTCAAGGCACATAAAGGTGTTTATGATACGAAGCTAGGTGTGATGTGGATTTTTTAAGATAATCTTTTTATAAATTTTAGCATTATCATTAGTATAAATCGTTTTATTTTTTTATTTGATGTGAAAAAGTTGTAGCACTACTCACAAATACTTTTTCAACTCTTCATTAGAACAGGTGTACACGTAGTAATAATATGTTTTGAGTAGGTGTATTTTACATGTCCTAAGTTTTAGTTCTAAGAATAATGAGCCAAAGGATTTGTGAAAGTACCTAGCACTCGACGCCTTACCTGAATATTGCTCCATTTATTATACCACATCTCCCGTGTGAAGTGGTATCATAAGGTGAGCAATATTGAGGTTAGGCTTCGTTCGAGTGCTATGAAAGTAGTAGAAATCAATAGACGAGTCTCTGAAATTACATTGACTGAGATGGTTAAGACATGTGTTACGTATACCTAGTCATCGCCTTCCTCGACGAGCAATGTTAGCTGATATAGGGTCACACTGGAAAACAGCTAGCGACAGTCAAACGAAAACATGGCACCAGTCAATGAAATCTACAACAGTTAGTCTAAGCCACATAAGAAGGTGTGTACTTCCTGGTTGGGGTCCTCGGGACGGTAAAAACCAATGACTGCTGGAGACAGTTGGTGACATGGCTCAAAATCGCTCTCAATGACAGCGCAGATGCATCCACTCCTTGTGACTTATAATTTCCAATGAAACTATATTGTTCTTCGTTATTACTATTCCTGTCTCACACCTCTTTTTACTGTCTCTGCTAAGCATTTCTTCTCTTGCCTTGTGTACTAAATGAAGTGTGGCGACTCGGACTGCTGCACATCAGTGCAAAGTTCTATGTCGAAAACAGACAGACACTGTTACCTGTGGTTTATTTATAGTGTCAGAATAATATATATATATATATATATATATTGACATGAACGTTTTCCATCAGGTGTTAACATCTTGCACCAACATGTCCTGTGTGGGACCCCTGATCTGTGAAATTAAATTTTGCGTGATACTGCTTATATAGTAAGTTATGTGTCATATGTAGATTATCGTAAGTAGCTCTAATGAATTTGTTGCTTACTAAGTCGTAGCACTGATACAGGTGTCTAGTTTGACATTTGCTATCTTGTGTCATCTTTGGAGCACATAATATCTGCCCATCCATTAGAAGGTATATTTACTGCAGAGTATTTTTTTTCCTGTCCTCATTTACGGTTGATGTGTGTGGGTGCTGTAGACAACCAAAGTGGGTTTTGCTGTATAGAATTTCGGCATTATATCAATCAAACTGATGTCTATAATTATCTATATGCATTGATATGAAAGAATATACATCATGTCTTTTCACAGCTGATTTGTGTTCCTGGATGCTGATTCTAAGGGGATGCCCACTTTGGCAGATGTAATGCCTGTTATAGTTCATATAATCTTCGCTATGATGTGTATAGTGTTAGGTAGCTAAGTAAACTCAGACAATAAGAATACGAGTTTTCATCCATTGATGCCACTACGACGTGGTATGCTAATATGGAAGCACTCTTCTCCTTAATGAGCATTATTCGATAATCTAGAAGTGGAATGAGGAAAGGTTATGTCGATCCATGGACTCGCTGACTGCTGGTCCAAGTCATGAATAGAGGTGTAGGTTAATGAGTAGGGGTACTGAAGAATCTAAGCTAATATCTCACGATTCTGTGATATGACTCAAGATCTTTTACGTGGGAGATGTATCCGATTTTTTACTACCTACCTAGTTCTGAAAGTATTTATTGATCTGGTTTAATTATTTTCTTCCCAGTACGTATTCGTCCAGTGTAGTCACACATATTTCCCCCACACTTTTATATGTATATATATATATATATATCACCTTTTGGGAAGTTTAACAGCTTCAACTGGTACCCTTTTTGTGCAACGGTTCACTCTGTGAGGGTTGAAGAAGTAGTGGCTCATAGATAAGCCATAGACAATTATTTAGGTCGATTAAATAATTCAGGTTTAAAAACTAAGCTGTAGTGAGACTGCAAAAATGGAAAGTTGAATGGGCCTACAATCACTTGCTGTTTATTTATAGTACGAATGAGAGATCAGCATATAAATTCCTACACTACCCTAGAAAAGGTTGGTACACAAGCCCGATGGTCTATCCTTAGAGGTATTGGAAGACGATGAGCTAAGATTATTAGTTAAGCATATTAAGACCTTAACGGAAGTCTGTCTTATCAAACTTCTCACCTTGTCCCGATACCATGAAGTATTTTACACATTATGTAACTTATTTTACTGCTTGGTGTTTAACTATGATTCTCATCACAAATATTTTGTTGCGATTCAGGCTACTGTTTTAATTGTGCCACGAGATATAGTTTAAAAACTCATTTATGCACTATTAAACTGTCTAAAAGTAAAATCGTTGATAAGAGTCTTTTCACTGAATGACTTATTTTCTTTTAGAAGTATGATAGCTAAATAATTCGCTTCGACTAGTCTCAATAATTAACTGTCTGGTTTCAGGATTTCATCATGAACTGACATCGGTTAGAGGAACATTGGAAAACCAGTTGGGAGTACTGGACAGCCAGCTGTTTCGCCGGCCTAGATTGGGAGTCTTCAGCAGTAAACACCCACCAACAGGGGTTCGAACCCAGGACCTTCTGGTTACAAGTCGAGCCAGCTCATAGACCAGTAAGCCACTGAGACCCTATCCCACAGTCCATGAACTCCAACTTCTGCCAATTCACTCATGAAATAGCGCGACTGGCACTAGCAAATGTCATTGGTGGCGAGTATTTGTCCGACCTGCTGTACCCCGCTAGTCACGACTTCCCACTGGAACCCAGGTAACTACCTACCTGAATAGGGCCAGTTACTAGTGAGCATGAGATTGATATTCAAGTGTTGGTTTGCAGAGATATGATTGGTGTTAAGATTTCAGTGGCTTAATGGTCTACGAGCTCGTCTTGTGACGAGAAGGTTCTGGATTCGAACCCTGGCGGTGGGTGCTTACTGATGAAGAATCTCAAACTAGGACAAAGTAGCTTTCCAGTACTCTGTTGGTTTTCCAATGGTCCGCTAAGTGATGGCAGTTCATGATGAAATCCTAAAACCAATCAAATGAAATCCCTGCAAACGAATACTTGAATAACCGTTTGTTGTTTTGCGAAAAGTGAAAAATCTTATGACAGCTGCAGTAAAATAACTTGACGATAGTTATGCAACACTTAAGTCCAGCTAGGGAACAAAGAATTCGAAATAATCATATTGGTTTCAGGTATAAATGCGTTTGTGCATCGATTACATATTTGTTCTTTATCAGATTTTAATAAGTAGGTTTACTTATAGGCAACCGCTAAATTGAGACCATTGTACGACTGTCTATGACTGGAAGGAATAGTTAATAACCATCCATTATTCCCAATTGTATATGTATAGTCACTGTAGTGTCTTGCATAAGTGATTCTGTGAGGTGTTTACGTACTGTTACAAGATTGGCAGGAGCCTGTACCTGCACTCACTCTTGCTTGCAGGTGAACCGCTTGGAGTTGTTGATAAGTTCGTGTATCTGGGTAGTTGTGCGAGTGCTGGCGGAGGGGTGACGGATGAGATTTCCAACCGTATAATGAAGGCTAGGGTGGCATACATCAAATTGAGCCACTTCTGTCGCCGTCGCAACGTTAGCCTGGCTGTCACAGGTCGGATATGCAATGTTCCAGTGCGGGCTGTCTTGCTCTACGCCTGTGAAACCTGGCCTCTCCGAGTTGAGGATGTGAGGCGACTCTGTGTGTTCAATCATCGCTGTCCGCAGGATTGCTTGCGTTCGATGACATCATCGCGTGAGTAATTTTGAGGTCCGGCGGCGTGTGTTTGAACACAGTGGAGATCACCATTCATTGAGTGTCGTCATCTGGAAACACCGGTTCTGGTGGCTTGGACATGTGCTGCGAATGTCATCCCAGAAGCTTCCGTACAGGTCTCTGTTCGCTAGCCCTGGGACGGGATGGAAAAGGCGGAGGGGTGGTCAGTCCATGACGTGGCGTCGCGGGATGAAGGAATTTTGTGCTAGATTAGCATCGGTTGGTGCGTCACGACTCCCTGGTTGGGGTCCGCGAGATAGCTCGAATCGATGGCTCGAAACGTTATCGGATATGGCCAAGAATCGTAATCAATGGCGAATGTGTTGCGATTTCCTTCTTTCTTCCATTCCCGATGATAGTTAACGAACACTGTTTGAACTTGTTAAACATGACTAATTTCCTTCCAGATTAAGTTCTTTATCCGTTTTCTACTTATATTTTTACTTTTAATCTATGTTGTTTTATTATTATTGTGTGGCTCATCTTTCTTGGTGCCATATTATACCAAGTTTTTCTGCGAGGTGTTTACGTCGAGTAGTGTGTTCACTCTTGCTAACTGTATAATAGATGCACTTTCTCCTTCGACTTAAATTACACAAACTATTAAGCTGTCTTCTACTTACTTCCAGAATATTTAAATTTCATGTCAACCCCCTCATCCCAATATAAATGGCATTCTTATCGTAAGACTTAAGACTATTTTGCAGAGAGCACATTCTTCCTGCTACTATATGAAATGCAGCAATTAAAAGTAAGTCTGAATAGGTTTCAACTGTCCAACCACATTTACCTTTGTAGGATTGTCTGCTTTTGGTAGCATAAAAACGTGAGTAATATGGCAGACGTAGGGTTCCAAGGTAAGATGAGTCTGACAGTCAGTCAGTCAATATAAGTTGCATTTGTCATAGGCCATTATAACCTTTACACACATTCTTACATTCACTGTGCTACTGTATA